GAGCTTGCTAGGGCCTCTCCCTCCGTATGAGGGAGAATTATTTCTACCTCCAACTAGTAAGTCTGAGGGACGCTGTAGTTACCCATCCTCGCGGCGCACTTGGTCTCCACCTCCACGTGAGAGACAGAGAGAGAGAGGGGAAGTGGTCCCACATGGAAGAAGGGGAGGGGAAGTCATTCAAGAAAGTGAAATTATGCGATCAATGACCCCAGCAGAGCTCCAAGAGCTATGAAGAGATTACAGTCAGAAACCTGGTGAATGAATTCTCACCTGTTACGATGCTGGGATAATGGGGCTAGAAGCCACAAGTTAGAAGGTTTTGAATTGCAGCAGCTAGGATCTATGGCTTGAGATTGAGTAATTGAACAGGAAATTAGAAGAGAGAGACATTTGTGTAGTCTTTGGCTCCCTCAATGCTGTGAGGGAGACGTACCCATTTAGAGAAGAGCTGGTGAGTTCTCCAAGAAGGTGGACTACGGCAGAAGGCATGCAGTACTTATGGGAATTTGCCATGCTGGAAATCATTTGTTGTGACCTAGACCACCACCAGTGGCTAGAGCCAGAGAGCATTCTGTGCATGCAGCCAATGTGGAAGAAAGTAATTAAAGGTGCCCCTGCATTATATGTTAATTGCCTAATAACAATATATGATCCAAGGACGACTGAACAGACCGTGGAAACAATGTGCGCTTGGATACGAAGCATAGCAGAAAATCTGGAAGACTTCTCTGACTTCCGACACCCACCCTAGGGACAGAATGGAGAGGCCTTACGAATATGAGGATGACTACAGACCAGTAGAACGGTCTCGACCATGATTTCGACCTCGACCTTGATCTTGGTCCCGGTCTCGTTCAAGATCTCCTCCCCTCATACACAGAAGGAGAGAAAATCCCAGATGTAGATCATGTGGTCAACTGTAGTCTTACCCACGCCTCCAAGAGAGACCAGATATTGAGTTATATTTAAAAAGTAAAAACTAATTCTCAAGTTTGCTCCTGTTCTTACCAACCAAAAGAGGGAGAACTACAGACATACCACTGTCACGTTTGTTTCCCACACCTGTTTTTCTTTCTCAGAAGTATTTGCATTAAAAGGTAAGTTTTAAATGATAAAACTGTGTGCTCTGCAGTCACCTCACGACCAGCAGCATAAGCATTTTCTGCCTTCTGCCTCCTTATGTGTTCATTCTTATTTTATTTCAGCACTGTAATAGACTTCTAGAGGGGAATACACTATCAAATATAACAGGACCTCGCAAATACAAATGAGCTGACACACCTTCCTCCAGAATAAGAGAACTGAGGAAATACTGTTTCTAATCTTGAGCCTTCCATATGGTGATGATGCTAATTATAAACAACTGTTTAATATAGAAGAGTTTGTTACAGAAACCTACTAAAAGAGAAGGGTGACAGATTATTAATAACCAGAGATTTTGAGACTGCTCTATTTTCCAGAAGCAGTGTGAGGCAAATGGTACTTGACTGCATAACTAAGAAGCGACAAAACAGGGGCAGTGAATACCTTTTAGGAGTAGTAGGTGTGGAGCCAGCTTTACATAAATAGGTTAGCTAACTAGGGGGAAAATTTTAACCTACTGGCTTAATTAATAAACAGGGCCTATGCTGCAATAAACAATTAATTACCAGCTTCATAGGTTAAATTTTGTTAAGCAAATTTAATATTAAGTGGCTACCAAATAGAATTAAACCTCCCTTAACTTTATTAATAAAAAGATAAGACAAAGATGGCATTCACATTACTATTGCATACATTGCTTCGCAGCAAAATGCAGATTACAGAAAGTTACCAAGTTCAAAACAAACTTCTTGCCTTTATGTGAGCCAAAGATGGAGGCATTCATGGAGGAGCTAGAAAAAATGTGTACTTAGCAATTCCGAGAGGGCTTACTAGGTACATTTTTACACTGCTCAATATTCTGCATGAATTCCAGTTTTCAAAATCAAAACTGTGTTTCATGTGGTGGTCTGAAGTGAGCATGAATCCTGCAAAAATGGAAGGCAGCTTGTATACTTAAAACTGCACATACAAATCACTCTGGATGGGAATTCAGCATAAAGTTTTTCACGCCACTCTGAACTATGTACTGTCCTTCCAAAGCAGAGACACAAGTCCACCTCACTCTGTCAATGAAATCACAGATTTCACCCAAATACAATGTTGTACTCAGTTCATAAATTACAGGGGGCAGAAGTCAATGCTGGTAACCTCTGGAAAAGCGAATACAGTTCTTGAAAAACAACCCAACCAACCAAAAAACCAAAAAGCCATAAAATAATATCCTCTAAATTTCTAAAAACTTTTAAAAACACTTTGTTTAAAATAATGATCCAGGAAGTATTTTGTGGTAAGAATATTTTATATTTTTTTTTACACTTTTAACACTTACAAAAACATTCAAACACAGGAAAAAAATTAAATAACTTTGGGAGCAGAACAAATCCTTCTGCCTACACACATACATCAATTCCAAGCTGTTGGCACAAAAAGTAATCCACATTCATAAAACCCTTACTACTATATCAAACATAAGTTAAGTAAATCATAGGCACTATTTTATCAAATCCATGTTTCCACAATTCTGCAATAAATCTCTAAACACAGAGCCCCATGATTTCCTGATATCAATAAACTGGTAATGCACAAAGGCTTTCTAGTAAACAGACAGTCTGTCTTCTCAGGAAGTCATTTGCTGTATTTCGGGGGGAGCAGCAGAAAAAAAAAATCCCTATAAAACTTAAGCTGAATTTACCCAAGCGATGAATTACTTAACTTAAGGAAACGTACGCAATTTGATGCAACCATGGTAAAACCCCCAATATCGTCATCTAAACTGACTTTCAAAAGTTAAAAGTCAATCAAATGTTTGATAAAATCCACCAATTAAAATTCACCTTTCTTCAAAGAAGACTGCAGCATTGCTTTGTAAAATGCTGAAATATAAAAACTGGGGCTTTAGTGAGAATCTGCACATTTGATCTAGTTCTCTCTTCTGCTGAATAATGACACGAGATACTGACATCCACTGCCTGTACCAGCGGGTGACTCAAGGCTAGATTAGTGGTATTTACTGCTCTGTACTGGTGCAAGGTAGTTTCTGCTGAAATCTGACTGAATTACAGTATATTTGATACTTTGACTTCAAAGTCTTAGCACAGATCTTGGTCTGAGGTGTGAAGTCATCCATCAACCCAAAGTTTGCTTGAGTATTTAGAGCTGCACATTAAGTCTCCACTCCTTTCTATTTGGTTTCTTCCAAGTCAAGTAGTATTGCATGGCTTTTCATCCAGGAATATGTTAATGCTGGCCTAAAATTCAAGTGTTAGAATTTCAGGATTAGTTATCCTCTTAGTGGTGGGAGTCAAAATACAACAGCAATCCCAAACTCAGATACTAATGGGGTTGAAGGCTACCTACCATCCACTCCAATTTGTAGTGTTTGTCAGTCATTGCACAAAGGATATACCATTCACATTCTCAAACTTAATCAACTGTACACCCAAAATACTGAAAAAGCTTCAAACAAAAATCCCTTCCATTTAACTAGTCCCACCCAATACTTTAGTTACAGATGTTTGCATGATGTCTTCCAAAACAGAAAACAATGGTTCAAATGCTAAATATATCAGTTGTTCTGAGCAAAATGTGTTAAAGTCAGAGCCACCAGAAGAATTTAATAGCTTGTAAACAGACATAGCAGGTTTCATACTCTGTTACCAGTAATGTAAGATACACATATGTAAGGCAAAGTACATATTTAAACACACTTACATGGGCAATATCTTCTGTAAAAATATTTACAATTTAAAATAAACCAATTTAGGAAATGGATGAAAGTAAAAAAATAGGATACAGAAAACTCCCTCATACCATGGAACATCACCTAAATGAATATCATTTGGCATCAAGAGTCAACTCATTTCCTTAAAATTTGTATGTTACAAGTGCATAGTTGTGTTTCCTTCTCCTTAACTATCAGCATTTACAGTTGCTGCGGCTGCAAGCATAGCAGTATGGTATTAGAACAAATTAACATTCTCACTTGCTCTTTCCTTTGTAAGGAAACCTGCTATTAAAAAAGTTTTCCCCAAATATTGAGCCTTGTGTTAAAAATGTGGCTACAGTAGCGAAGGCCATCTTTCCTGAGCCAGGAACTTTAAGGTTAGAAAGATTGTACAACTGATACTAAGCCCTTTTGGCAATCAAACATATAAGAGCATGTAAAGCCAATAAATCAACATAGGAAAGATGCAATCTATACTATTGCATTTGTGTGTGTCTGCTACATTCAAACCTTTTAATATGATAAAAGCCATGGCTACGACCCACTGTTCTGCCTAATCCTCCAGAGTAACTGCTGATTCTTCCTGAGGGATGTATGTACCACTTGCCCCAACCAGGATCTCATACAATTGTTAAAAGCAACATTTCCCTAGCACTGTAGCAATCTGCAATCAGAACATTAGCTCTGATTAATGTAGCCTTGTTTCAATAGTACATATTCACCAATCTTTCTGCTGAGTTAAAGAAGGCTGAAAATGATGTTTTGGACAATGTAGGTTGACAGTTATCCTTGCTGTTTTTCAAGATGGGCATTTCTTTGGCATTTGTTTGGTTTTTGCCCAGACATTGGCCACTCTCATAAATGCTCATACTGATACGTTTTTAGCAAGCAAGAAAAAAACCCCCAGAACTGATAGCAATTTAATGTAGAAGTGATTGTATGACCACCAAACATCTGATGTTAGATGTTATTAAAGTGCTGCTTTATAATCTCTGCCAGTTTGTGCTAATTAGAGACAGAGAGGTTTGGAATTTTTACAAATCCCAAGAGTCACATCTGAACAGTTTGTTTAATCAAGCTGTCTTTTAGCCTGGTGAGGAAGCATCCGTGAGCACTGGAACTTTGCATTAAGCTTTGCAGTTCAGTAGCAGCCATCTTTCCAACTCTCATCTTTCA